GAAGGCTGAAGGGGGACCTGGTGACCATCTATAAACTCATTAGGGGGGACCAGACGGGTTTAGGAGAGACCTTGTTTCCCCTTTTGCCCCTTGGCATAACAAGGAATAATGGCCATAAGTTGTTGGAAAGTAGGTTTAAATTAGACATCCATAAGAACTTGTTTACAGTTTGGGTGGCTAGGATCTGGAACCAACTTCCAAGGGAAGTGGTGCTGGCTCCTACCCTGGGGGTCTTTAAGAAGAGGCTTGATGCCTTCCTGGCTGGAGTCATTTGAGCCCAGTTTTTCTCCTGCCGAGGCAGGGGGTTGGACTTGAAGAGCTACAAGGTCCCTTCTGACCCTACTTCTATGACTCTATGACTATATGATTCTATGACTAATAATAAGGTGCAAATTTTTATCAAGGTAATTGACTATAAGAACAGCCTACTGAGAGACAGACTGGATTCTCTGTTACTTGAAATCTTTAAAACTATTCTCAGTATGCTTCCAAAAGGTATGATCTAATTCAATCAGTGATTATGGACCTGATCCTGGAATAAATGGTTGAAATTTTCTGGATCTGGTTTCCAGGTAAGACTAGGCGATTATAAGGTTTCCTTCTGGCTTTTTGATATGTGAACATATGAATACAAATTTAAGTAAAGTTTATAACAGTAATTGGATACCTCTCTCTACCTCTTTCATTTTGATTGGACCTAGTCACAATTATTTTGTTGAAAACTAGTTGAGAATTTTCATATTTTTGACCAGTTTTACTAGGGTTTTCTCACCTTAGCTTTTATGCCTATTAGACTTCTTAAGTACCAGGTAGAATTATGTAACAGCTGAGTTAGAGACAGTTGGAAGAGATTGCAAATTAGATCTTAAACAAACCTTCTTATACAAAGAATTGAAGAAACATAAGAATTCAGGCCAGTTGATAATTTAAAAGTAGCAACACCTACCATTGATCACCGACCATTCATTTCCCCATTCTTTTTTTTAAAGGGTAACTTTAATTTCTTAATAAGAAAATACATATTAAAAATTCCCAGTATAAACAAGACAAGGTTTCTGTAGAACTTCTCTGGCAAAACTGTTCTTAAAAGTGATTGTGAAGTATATTTGGGATAGCATGTGCATACAGACACTTGGGGAGGTGAAGCTGAGGTTATATTGAATTAAAAATGGCTACCCAATTTGGGGTTAGTCAATTTGGGAAAATCAGGGGGGCAGGTGGGTTCTGCTGGAAGGATTGGGGGGTAGGTAGGAACTGTAAGAGGAATCAGAGGAGCTAGCATGGTCTGTGGGGGGGGAAACTATTTCAGGGACCTGTTTCTGAAAATCAATTTGAACCTGACTTCATGTGTTACATAGATACCAAACAACTGTGGGACTGATTACTTCTGTACAGAGATACAGCAAGGCAGAGGCAGTGGCAGATCCTGACTGCTGGTGACATGGCTGGGTGCTGGTGACTCATTTTTGCACCCCTCCCTCCTTCCCACAAATTGGCACTTTTTGTTGCTGTCCTAGTTTCTCCCCAGCCCCTTAGTTACACTACTGCTTCACTAGTTCTTTGGTATGCCTCAATCTGGAATTGGAATTTCTTTCTACATTTTGAACATTTTCACAAGCCAGAAAAGCAGTTTCTTGCCCAGCTCCAGTACCTATAGCGTTTATAGGGTGATCTGGAAATAAGATGGCTCCTGAGACAGGAAAGGAGAGCTGCTCCGTTCACTGTTTTCTAAATGTGCGGCTAGATTCTTTGTGCTATTTTGACAATCTTCAGCTAGATTATAGATCCTGAATACTTGTTGGCAGGTACATCAAGTCCAATAAACCTCCTGAGAACCCCTTTTCAGAGCTTTACAGCACTCTCACTTATTCATTCACATCTGTATATACTCAGGATTGTCTGACCTTTCTTCCTCAGTGCCATTGCTGCTGCTAGTTATATTCACTGGGTTCACTGCTTCACAACTGTCATCCACAATATTTAATCCATGGTTTAAAGATAAAAAGAGTCTTTATCCTGGGAGGTACCAGAATTCTCCATTAAAATATTTTAGGGGTGGGGGTATAGCTCCTTGTTCTATATCTCTTGGGAGCAAGCCTTACCCAATTTTCCTTTAGTTTTTCTTTACAAATATTGTGTGAAAGCTATGCACTGTGCATATATTAACAGAAGATGTGGAAGTTTAAATTCTTTATAAAAACCTGGCTCTTTTGAAAGTGTTTCTGTAACAGATTGTTGATTTTTTTTTGTTTTAGTTTTTCCGACATTTATTTTAACATTATCAGCATGATTCTAAACATTGCTCATATACCAAAAAAAGAAATGAATCAAAGCTACATGCGGACCTGAGGATTTGGGTCTAATAATGTGAATGATGCGTGCTCCTATACTTTGCAGAAGGAAGGAAATTATTTCAATGAGATAGTTAATGTTGCTCAAATAAATAGGTGTTATGTCTTGTGCTTTGTCAGGCTTGACAGTTGTTTTGTGAATAGGTTAGGCAATAGATTTGTACAGGGTAGTTTGGATAGGGATGATCAGACTCGATGATCTCATAGGTCCCTTCTGATCCTAACATCTATGAAACTCTATGAAACTATAAATGATAACATAGTCCCTAAAACATGTAAGAGGATTTAAAGTGACAGACTCTTGCATGCTTGTGGAGATTCATAAACTTTAGAGAGGCACAGCACAAACATACAGCACGGGTATCAGATAAGGCTCACAGAGCCCCTTTATCTAGTCCCCAGTGCTGTCCCTGGGTCTGATAGTTGACTGAAGTGGCATATGCTGCACTGGCTCCACATGCAAGGAGGATGCATGCCAACCATGGCACCTGCTCCAAGTGGTCTAGGATCTGCACAACACACAGCCTCAGCTTTGGCCACACTCAGTGCCCCAGAGGGTGTTGCAAGTATCATGCTTCCCAGACTAGCTGGAATGAGTGCTGCATGCAGTATGCAGTCCATACTGGCTGGAACAGGCAGCACATACAGCATGAGTCACAAAGCAGGCACTGGATCAAGCTTGTGGGATATGGGATGGATCCATGGACCTGGTTCTGGACTGGCCCCATGACACTCATCAAGTCCATGGGGCCATATGAGTTTGATATCCATGGTTTACAGAATGAGAAACCTAGTAATCAATCATGCAAAGTTGTTTTAACCACAGGAATGGTCCAATGAGCTTAACCATGGGGTTGCAATGGACCTCTAGGCACACTATGCATATTTAGGAATGCGATTCCTTAACCCCCCCATCAAATGCTTATCTAGCTATCCAGCCGGATGAAGAAGATGCTAAAGTTTCCCTGGGCAGTCTATTTTATTGCTGTACTGTTCCAACAGCAGGGATTTCTTTTTCCTGAAATCTAACTTAAATCTGTTTTACTGTTATTTAAAACCATTGCTCCATGTCCCTGTGGAGCCTCCCTTAAAACTTCCAGCCATCCTGACACTAATCCATTTATAATTATCGTTTGCTTGTGTTATTAAGCCAATTATGTATCCACTTATAGTAATATTATCTAGCCCACATTTCTTCAGTTTACTTAGGAGATGTCATGTTGGACTATAGTAAATGCCTGTTATACATATAGGATGTAAACAAACGTTAAGCCACACCTGGTCTACAATGATGCAGCTTACTTTAAAATACATAATCATAGATCAGGAGTAGCATGTGCATATGTTTTCTGGTGCTGGGAGCTGTGCCATAAACCCAGCATAAGTAACATGACGCATGACATGGGGGAGGGGGCAAGAGATCAGGGGAGCTAGCAGGTCCACAGGGGTATTGGCAGTCCGTGGGGGGCGGGTATTGGCAAACCAAGGTGTGTGTGTGTGGCGGGGGGGGGGGGCTGGGGGGTCTTTG